GACCACGCTTGGAGTCTCTGAGCTCCTGAGAGCGACCCATTCTTTCACCAATGTTTGTAGAAGCAGTCTGCATGCCTAGGGGCTTGATGGCATACACCTGTGTCCATGGAGGGGATTGGAACATCTGAATCCAAGGATTTGGAGGGCGGAGACAATACTTTTGGCAATAAAGTATATACAGTATATATATATATATATATATATATATATATATATATATATAAACAAATCAAATCAAATGTATTTTGCTACGTGTCTTTGGTACAAAAAAAAATCCAATATGTGTATATTAATTGGTTTGTGTGAAAGTTACATACTGGAATTTACACATCTATGATGCTATATTGGTAATGGTGGGACTGTGATAGTGTGGAGGGAAATCTGGCACTAAATGATGCTGGCTGGGAGGGACACTAACTGACTAATACTGATGCCGCTAGTGACACTAATACAGTGATCATATATAATACTGTGCACTGTATTAATGGCAGTGGCTGGGAAGGGGTTAACATAAAGGGGCAAACAAGGGGTTAACTGTTTACCTAACAAGTGTAATGAGTGCTGCTTTTACTCACAGATCTGGCTGTATTTTTTCTCTCTGCTTATCATGGAGGAAAAAAAACAGCCTGATTGTGGTCTGTATACAGAGTCCTGTGTGTTCTGTGATTGGCCAATCAGCTGGTATACATCCAACTTGTGCTATAGCCAAGTACAGCACTGGTCGACAGGAGGTGTGTGCCCAAAACCCGGAGGCAGGCCCACAAATTTTCAGGTATGTGGTGGTGCTTGCCTGTGCAACCTGCTCAGAGTAATTTTTCCCCTTTCCTGCAGGTGGTCGTCAAGTGGTTAATCACCTATCTTCCTTTTCCTCTCTTCTTCCTCGCCTCTTCTCTCCTCTCCTCCTCACCTCTTCTCTTCTCTCCTCCTCTGTTCCACCTTCCTGTCTTCACTCTTTCCTACTTCTTCTTCACTTATTTTCTCTTCCCTTCCCTTCTCTTCTCTTCTTTTCCCTTCCCTCCTCTCCTCCCCTGTTCCTCCTTCCTGTCTTCATTCTTTCTTCCACTTATTTCTCTTCTCTTCCCTTCCCTTCCCTTCTCTTCCCTTCCCTTCCCTTCCCTCCTCCCCTGTTACACCTTCTTGTCTTCACTCTTTCTTCCACTTACTTCTCTACTCTTCTCTTCTCTTCCCTTCCCTCCTCTCCGCCCCTGTTCCTCCTTTCTGTCTTCATTCTTTCTTCCACTTATTTATCTTCTCTTCTCTTTCCTTTCCTGCCCTTCTTTTCCCTTCCCTTCCCTCCTCTCCTCCCCTCCCCTGTTACACCTTCTTGTCTTCACTCTTTCTTCCACTTACTTCTCTACTCTTCTCTTCCCTTCCGTCCTCTCCGCCCCTGTTCCTCCTATCTGTCTTCATTCTTTCTTCCACTTATTTCTCTTCTCTTCTCTTTCCTGCCCTTCCCTTCCCTCCTCTCCTTTCCTCCCCTGTTACACCTTCTTGTCTTCACTCTTTCTTCCACTTACTTCTCTTCTCTTCCCTTCCCTTCCCTTCCCTCCCTTCCCTTCCCTCCTCTCCTCCCCTGTTCCTCCTTCCTGTCTTCATTCTTTCTTCCATTTATTTCTCTTCTCTTCCCTTCCCTTCCCTTCCCTCCTCTCCTCTCATTTCCTCCCCTGTTCCACCTTCTTGTCTTCGCTCTTTCTTCCACTTACTTCTCTTCTCTTTTTTCAATTCTTCCCATTAACATGCCATACTACAGCTTTTCCTCCAGTTGATAATTACTGATAGATTGTTGGCAGTCTTCCCTATATCTGACTTCATTATGGAGAATTATGCAAGCCAATTTTTAAAGGTGTAAATGATCTGATTTTCCAGTGTGCAGCTTGTAAATGACTGTTCCTTCAGTGACTGGATGAGCGGACTTGGAAATGATGGCTGAATTCATTGCCTACACCAGAAACTGTAACATAGTGGAACGTACAGTGCAATCCCGATGTCGGTACACAGGCACATGGCAGGCTTCCAGCCACCACCACCTGCTGCATTATTGTTTCTGGCTATGTAATAACAAGATGCACCGGCAATTATAACACTACTAATGACATCTTAAACAGGAACTTGGGATTCAACAATGACAAATTAACAGTTGTCTATGAATGGAAGCGCCAAAAGATGCCTATTTGGGACATGTTCCATGTGTGCTCGGGGGCCCCTTGAATAAGATCAGTTTGTGGACTTCAAGCTGAGTTGACGCTCTTGCATACCTCCTTTACTACCCAGAAAACCATTGCAATGCCCACTGAGACTCCCACTTTGGATTGTGGAATAGAAGTACAGTCCATCTTAACTAGTTGCCGACCGAAGGTAGCCGAATGATGGCTGCACTGCGGCCATCCAGTTCTGGGAGGCCGTCATATGATGTCCTCCCAGAACGTGCTCTCCTGCATGCCCCCGGAGATCTCTGTGATCGCTGTGTCCTATGGACACAGCTGATCACGTGATGTGGTAAAAGGCCAATCACAGCGGCCTTTTACCATGTGATCAGCCGTGTCCAATAACACGCTGATCACCGGGAAATGCAATTGCCGTTTCTCGACTGCACTTTCCTCATGCTGTCTGAGCATGAGGAAAGTACTGCCGAGGACCAGCAGTTGTCAGAGCAACGATCAGCACTGATCATCAGTGCCCTGATGATCGGTGCCCAGCAGTGCCACCCAAAAGTTCTGCCCACAAGTGCCCACCAGTGCTGCCCACCTGTGCCCACCAGTGCCACCCACCAGTGCCCGGCAGTGCCACCCACCTGTGCCCACCAGTGCCCACCAGTGCCACCCACCAGTACCCATCAGTGCAGCCCAGCAGTGCCGCCAGTCAGTGCCACCCAGCAGTGCAGCCAGTCAGTGCCCAGCAGTGTCGCAAGTCAGTGCCCAGCAGTGCCACCAGTCAGTGCCGCCTATCAGTGCCGCCTATCAGTGTCGCCTATCCGTGCCACCTCATCAGTGTTGCCTATCAGTGCCACCTATCAGTGCCAGTCAAGGTAGCAGAGGATCACAGAGTAGTCTGTTCAAAGCCAAGGTCAGATGCCAGGTGTAGATTGGAGCAGACGTAGTCAATATCTATTAGCCAAGCCGGGGTCAGATCAGGAGAGCAGGTGGGAATGTCTGTTGGCCAAGCCAAGGTCAGATCAGGAGAGCAGGTGAGAATATCTATTAGCCAAGCCAAGGTCAGATCAGGAGAGCAGGTGAGAATATTCATTAACCAAGCCAAGGTCAGATCAGGAGAGCAGGTGAGAATATCCATTAGCCAAGCCAGGGTCAGATCAGGAGAGAAGGTGAGAATATCAATTAGCCAAGCTGGGGTCAGATCAGAGAGAGCAGGTGAGAAAATCTATTAGCCAAGCCAAGGTCAGATCAGGAGAGCAGATGCAAATATCTATTAGCCAAGCCAAGGTCAGATCAGGAGAGCAGGTGAGAATATCCATTAGCCAAGCCGGGGTCAGATCAGGAGAGCAAGTGAGAATATCTGTCAGGAATGGACTTGCCAGTGGTGGTGGGACTCACCTGCCTTGTGGGCTGCAGTACCAGGGCTGGCCAGCGGGTGCTCTCAGCAACCAGAGGTTCACTCTTGCAATGAGCCATCACCTGAAGCTGATTACAACAGGTGTATTTAAGGAATGGCCAGGCCTGTGATCAGGGCCTTGGTGTATGTTTCGCATGGGCCCCTATACCTGCATCCTGTCTGCTTCCTGCCTGATCCAGATTCTGCTTCGATCCCTGACTCTGCATGAACTCCGCCTGTCCTGACCTCGGCTATTCCTGACTACTCTTCTGCCTGCTCCTTGTGCCCTGCCTGCCCATTTGCTACCGACCCGGCCTGCCCGACTACGCTTAGTATTCTTTCTATTGTTATCTGTTGGAGGTTTGGGTTGGTTGGTTTGCACTGTGTTGTTGTTTAGTCTTGCACTGCGTCTATGTTTTGTTTAGTCTTAATAAATTGTCTTATTCACACTATACCTGAAGTCTGCGTTTCCCTGTGTCAGTCCACACATTTCTGGTCATACCCGGATCCCTAACAGAACACCAAGGCCATTTCTGACCAGAAGTGGCTGCACAGGGAAGCCATCTTGGCTTATTGTTGCTGGGAAGGATGCATCTTGATGAGGTTGTGTATTTGTCTCTGCTAGTCTTTGATGACAGGGATTATGCTTATCAGACTCTGAAGGAGTATACCCGGGATCAACTGCTAGAATGTATACAGATCGCTCATTGCCTAGTAGGCACAGAGTTCTCTGAGGTGCAACCATTGATTCAGGTTTGTGCAGAGTTGGCTTCATCTGGTACCCCTGAATGCAGGGATGAATTTTTGCCACCAGGTAGAGTCTCTGGTATGGTTATTGGAGGATGATGTGGATTACTTCTTGGAGCGTTATTCTGCATGTTCACAACAGGTGCTAAGAGACTGTATAAACGCAGTGCAGTCTTTGACCAGACAGGCTTTGTGTAAGCTGAGCTTTGTTCAACCCATACTGCAGACATGGTCAGACTTGTTGCACCCAGCCTCAGTCAGCTTGCAACGTCATTCCTCTGATCAAGGCACTCTTCCTGCATCCCCAATAGCACCCCCAGTGATGGCCCAGTATACTCTGCTAACTACCACATATCAGTCCCCTGCTCCCACTCGCTGCACCTATCCTATCTTTAACCCTGTAAAGAAGTCCTCTGTAGCAACTGCTCCCTCCTTTGTTCCATCCCCCAGCTCTTCTCTGCCTACAGCTGCTCTATCCACTTACAAACCTGTGCTTACTTCCTGCGCTCCAGTAACTAAAACCAGGAAAATGCGAACATTCTTTCCAACCAATACCATCCTGCCAGTATCCAAACCGGTCAGCCTGCCGTCTGCGAACCCACCTTTCGTGGTTCAGCCTGATACCCTGATGCCCGATGACCCAGTGTACCCTACCCAGCTTGACGTGTCTACCCAGCCTGATGGTCCTATTATGCCAGATGACTTGGTGCCTGCGGTCGAGCCAGACGATCCAATGCCAGATGACCCGGTACCCACTGTCGAGCCAAATGCCCTGATGCCAGATGACCCGATGCCCGCTGTCAAGCCAGACGATCCAATGCCTGATGACCCGGTGCCCGCTGTCGAACCAGATGACCCGGTACCCGCTGTCGAGCCAGATTACCTGATGCCAGATGACCCGATGCCCGCTGTCGAGCCAGATGATCCAATGCCTGATGACTCGGTGCCCGCTGTCGTGCCAGATGACTCGATGCCCGCTGTCGTGCCAGATGACTTGGTGCCCGCTGTCGTGCCAGATGACTCGGTGCCCATGGTCTTGCCAGATGACTTGGTGCCCACGGTCTTACCAGATGATTCGGTTCCCGCTGTCTTGCCGGATGATTTGGTGCCCGCTGTCGTGCCAGATGACCCAGTACCCGCTGTCGTGCCAGATGACTCGGTGCCTGCTGTCGAGCTTGGTGACCCAGTGCCCGTGGTCCTGCTAGATGGCTCGGTGCCCGCTGTCATGCCAGATGGCTCGGTGCCTGCTGTCGTGCCAGATGGCTCAGTGCCCGCTGTCGTGCCAGATGACTCAGTGCCCGCTGTCATGCCAAATGACTTGGTGCCCGCTGTCGAGCTTGGTGACCCAGTGCCCGCGGTTCTGCCAGATGACTCGGTACCCGCTGTCCTGCCAGATGACTCGGTGCCCGCTATCATGCCAGATGACTCGGTGCCCGCTGTCGTGCCAGATGACACGGTACCCGCTGTCCTGCCAGATGACTCGGTACCCGCTGTCCTGCCAGATGACTCGGTGCCCGCTGTCGAGCTTGGTGACCCAGTGCCCGCGGTTCTGCTAGATGACTCGGAGCCCGCTGTCGTGCCAGATGGCTCGGTGCCCGCTGTCATGCCAGATGACTCGATGCCCGCTGCTCCGCCTGATGGCCCGGTACCCGCTGCTCCGCCTGATGGCCCGGTACCCGCTGCTCCGCCTGATGGCCCAGTGCCCGCTGCCTTGCCTGCTTCTTCGCCTGATGGCCCAGTGCCCGCTGCCTCTGCCTGCTGCCCAGCCTGCCGTGCCTCTGCCTGCTGCCCAGTCTGACGTGCCTCTGCCTGCTGCCCAGCCTGACGTACCAGCTCCTGATGCCCAGCCTGCTTCTGGAAATCCTGTGTCCAGCAATCTGCCTTCCTGCAGTCTCCTACAAAAAGATAGGCCTATCAGCAGGAGACCCAGCAAATCGCTTGATTCCGGCAGTGGGATGTCCAGCCAGTTGCCGGACCCAGGCGGCGGAACATTTGGGCCATTACAGACTGTTTGGAGCGTCCTGAGGCCGCTCCTTGAGTGGGGGGGGGGGGGGGGTACTGTCAGGAATGGACTTGCCAGTGGTGGTGGGGCTTACCTGCCTTGTGGGCTGCAGTACCAGGGCTGGCCAGCGGCTGCTCTCAGCAACCAGAGGCTCACTCCTGCAATGAGCCATCACCTGAAGCTGATTACAACAGGTGTATTTAAGGAATGGCCAGGTCTGTGATCAGGGCCTTGGTGTATATTTCCCATGGGCCCCTGTACCTGCATCCTGTCTGCTTCCTGCCTGATCCAGATTCTGCTTCGATCCCTGACTCTGCATGAACTCCGCCTGTCCTGACCTCGGCTATTCCTGACTACTCTTCCGCCTGCTCCTTGTGCCCTGCCTGCCCAATTGCTACCGACCCGGCCTGCCCGACTACGCTTAGTATTGTTTCTATTGTTATCTGTTGGAGGTTTGGGTTGGTTGGTTTGCACTGTGTTGTTGTTTAGTCTTACACTGCATTTATGTTTTGTTTAGTCTTAATAAATTGTCTTATTCACACTATACCTGAAGTCTGCGTTTCCCTGTGTCAGTCCACACATTTCTGGTCATACCCGGATCCCTAACAATATCCATTAGCCAAGCCGGGCCAGATAAGGAGAGCAGGTGAGAATATCCATTAGCCAAGCCGGGGTCAGACCAGGAGAGCAGGTGAGAATATCTATTGGCCAAGCCGGGGTCAGATCAGGAGAGCAGGTGAGAATATCTATTGGCCAATCCGGGGTCAGATCAGGAGAGCAGGTGAGAATATCTATTGGCCAAGCTGGGGTCAGAACAGGAAAGCAGGTGAGAATATCTATTGGCCAAGCCGGGATCAGATCAGGAGAGCAGGTGAGAATATCTATTGGCCAAGCCGGGGTCAGTAGTCAGGCATAGAAGACGGGTCCAAGAACAAGCCAAATTGGTAACAGGAGATCACAGTAGCAAGGGAACATGGACAAAGGTACTGGGCAGTGATGGGCTTCCTTATAAAGGCCGCCTGGTGCCAAACTGGGCTAATGCGTGTGTAACTATGCGCCAGTGCACATGCCTGTTGCGGCTCGCATCCATGCGCATAGATTTTTGCCAGCGTGCATTTCTGCAGCCATGCAAGGTACTGGCAGGAATGCCAGGTCTCCGAGTACCTCTGCTGTGGACAGAACCCTGACAAGCGGGGGACCCAAGAAAAGGAGGATCGGGGCTGCTCTGTGCAAAACCGTTAACAGCAGGTAAGTAAAAAATGTAAGCCTTTATTATCACTTTAACCTCTTTAGCAACCTACTCTAGGAAGGTGCTACAGTTTTATTTAAAAATGGCATTACCTATCTGATGAGGGGGGAGAGAAGAACCAGGGAAGGCGACATATAAGCAGATTAAACGTCATTTTTAATTTGTAGCCGCAGAATTGGATGTGTTCCCAATTTAAACAAGGCCCCTCCTAATTCACCTCCTTTAATTAAAGCCCCATAGAAAGTTTTTGGCATCATTTAGCAGGTGTAACAGCCGTATATATATATTTTTTTTTTCACCTGCACCTTGTAATTGGCGGCCTGCTTTCCAGCAGCGTGTCTGGATAAATTACGCCTTTGTTTACCACTGCAGGCTCCAGTACATCTTAATCCCATTGCACTGCTGATTTACAGCCTTCCCCTCCTCCGTCTTCCTCTCTCCATCTTTCTTTTTTTTTTTTTTTCATGCTTTGCTTTTTTCTCTTTTTTCACCTTTTGCTTAGGAAATGATTTTCAACTTAGTTGAGCTGCATCTCTGACATTCATTGGAAAATCAATATTTGTTTTCTGAGGCAAAGAGACTTGTTGGAAACACTATAAACGGTAAAACCATGAAAGCACCTTCCAGCTTAACGCTTAGCGGCTAACCAGGTTGGAGATTTTTTTCCTGTACAGTGTTAGTGGTGTAGATAGAAGTGAGATTATATGTTTATTACAGCGTTAATCGCAATGCGGGTGTTTGTCGCGGAGATCCCAGCTTGTCAATGCTCTCAGCTCTGCCAGTTATTTTGTACCATGTTTGCTGTGTTAGCTAACCGTCATTTCCCCATCAAAGCCTTCAATTCATGTTGCTGTATGCTCGCTTTTTCGCTTTTCTATGCATAAACAGCGTATGCGCAGAAATAGCTATTTTTATTTGAAATATTTAAAGAGGTATTACCCCCGGTTCACATCTGTGCGGGTGGTGCCGCTGCGGATCCGCACCACCCGCACAGAGAATTGAGGACTCGAGGGCGGGTGATATTAGTTCTAATGGCACTCCACCCGCACTAGGAAACGCAACCGTACTGGGAACCAAGGTTCCTGTGCGGGTTGCGTTTTCCAAAGAAGTGCAGATACTTCTTTCCCTGCGTGTCATGGGCAAATAAATGGACTCTCGTGCCCGTGCAAAACTCGGCCCGCAAGGCTGCATGGGTGTAAACCTAGGGTGAAACCCCAAACCAAAAATGTAATACACTATATTTCCAAAAGTATTGGGCTACCCCTCCCAATCATGTAATTCAGGTGTTCCAATCCCCTCCATGGACACAGGTGTATACAATCAAGCCCCTAGACATGCAGACTGCTTCTACAAACATTGGTGAAAGAATGGGTCGCTCTCAGGAGCTCAGTGACTCCAAGTGTGGTCCCGTGATAGGTGGCCACTTGGGTAATAAGTCCATCCGTGACATTTCCTGGCTACTAAATATTCCACGCTCAACTGTTAGTGGGATTATAACAAAGTGGAAGCAACTGGGAACAACAGCCACTCAGCCACCAAGTGGTAGGCCACGTCACATGACAGAGCGGGGTCAGCGCATACTGAAGCGCACAGTGAGCAGAAGTCGGCAACTGTCTGCAGAGTCAATAGCTAAAGACCTCCAAACTTGGTGTGGCCTTCAGATGAGCCCAACAACAGTGCGTAGAGAGCTTCATGGAATGGGCTTCCATGGCCAAGCAGCTGCATCCAAGCCTTCCATCACCAAGTGCAATGCAAAGTGTCGGATGCTGTGGTGTAAAGTACCACTGAAAGGTAGGCCATATAAAATGACACAGCGGGGTCAGCGCATGCTGAAGCGCACGGTGTACAGAAGTTGCCAATTGTCTGCAGACAGTGGCTTATCTACCGCGAGGTAAGCAAGGCGTTTGCCTAGGATGGCAATGTTTAGGGGGGCGTCCCCGCCTCCCGGAAGAAGGGACCTGGTGAGCACTGGCGGACAGGGCCATGCAGGGCCGCCATCTGAGAGGTACCACCGGTACTCCTGTTGGTGGACCAGACAGCAGGAGAATCAGTGTGGTGGGGGAGAGCAGTTGCAGAAAGATGCACTGTGTATCTCTCCCTCCAGCAGCTGAAAGCCGGTTTCTCTCCCTTTCCCTCCCGTCGGCTTTCTGCTGCTGGAGGGAGAGACCTGACCAGATGGAGGGGTACCCTGGTGTTCCTGAGTGGCCGCTCTCCACTGAGCTCCTTCCCCCGCCCGCACTCAGGGCCGGGACCATGGGACAGCCTGGAGCAGGGAGAGTAGAAGTGGAAGAGAGGAAAGAGCCCAGAAGAAGTGAGCTGTGTTGTGTTCTCTGGGCTCTCCCTCCTGTCGCATGATACACGATCACTGACAGATCATATGTTACTGCACACACACAGATATCTTAAGTACATAGATAGAAAGGCATGCAATAATCACACCCTCCTGTCTACATTCATGAGCTAAGGGCAGATGGATTCCAGTATGTTAATGCTACAATAATCATCTGCCCTTACTCAAGATGGCCGTAGCTAGAAATTCTAGGGTGGGGGCGGGGGGTGCTTTCCAAAGTGATTTCTCATTTGTAGTCCAGCATGCAGAAGCCAACTGTGCTTGGGAATTTCAGCGTAGCAGAGCCACTGTGTTGTGACTCCAAAGAGGACTTTGGGAGCTCTATCATTCTAATTTGTGAGGGATATAACATGGGGAAATGCACATGTACTGCACAGAGGTACTTGTTTTCCTAGACATACATTTTTAGGTTATAAAGCCTAAATCTTGGATTGTAAGCTTGAAAGAGCAGGGCCCTCAATCCCCTCATGTTTTGCATTGTATTGGTATTGTTCTGTCACATGTTCTGTCCCCCTTTGTAATGTAAAGCGCTGAGCAAACCATTGGCACTTTATAAATACTGTATAATAATAATAAATGAATATTGTATAAATGATTTGGAATTTCTGGATAAACACGTTTTGTTTTGTGATTTTGAAGGTTATTTGTTGTAGAAGTGTAGCACTATCCCCTTAGGAGTCGCTAGAGATGTGGGTCCAAAGACAAACAAACGAAACCAGCGCTCAAATCTCCATGCAGACCAAGAGGAATTCACAATGGCAAACGAAGAGGTGCAGCCCTTCAAAGATCGTGAAATCCGGGTACTGATGAACAAAAAACGAAAAAAGGGCACACTCTCATCGTGCATTACCGTGGTGTACCACGTATTTATTGTATAATC